ACGAACCACTAGCGAAATACATACAGTATGTCAATAAAGTGTTTTTACTAACAAAAAAAAACTAATTTTTTGGGTTTAGTTGAAAATAAATGTACCTAAAAGTGAGAATTTTTTTTCAATTATAATTTATTTCGATTCTATATTTCTCCTAGAACTTAATGGCAAAAAGAATTGTTAAATAACATTACCCAAACATTTTATAAAATTAAAAAACTAAAAACATTCACATTTTATGCTGTCAATAAAGTGTTTTTACAGCTACGGTAAATTGTTTTGCCGTTCTCTTTTGGGTGATCCCGTTAGATTTGGGCCCATGCGTTTTGGCTTCTCTTGTGTCTTCGACTTTTCTTGTCATTTTCTATTGCAATTTATAACGTTTTGCTTTAATTTTATGAAAAATAAAATGCCAGGAAAAAGAACAACTTTTGAAGTCGCTCAGCTGGTGTATTATAACCATCAGATGGGACGTCAAGTCTCGGAACTGGCTGATATGTTTAATTTATCAAAAGCAACGATATACAACATATTAAACAGAGCCAATAAGGAAGATAGGCTAGAGGCAAAGCCAGTATGTGGTCGACCCTGCAAAATTTCTGACAGAGATAAGCGAAAAATTCTGAGAAAAATTGAGAAAAATCCACAAATTTCGCTTAGGGATATTGCTCAGGAGTTCAAGGAAGAAAGTGGTGTTGATGTGTCACATGAAACTGTCCGAAAATTACTGAATTCCAATGACTACACATCACGAGTTGCCAGGAAAAAACCTCTACTATCGGCGGCGAATATTTTGAAGCGGCTATCGTTCGCTCAAGTCCATGTAAATAGTTCGAACGATTTTTGGAGTAACGTCATATTCTGTGACGAAAGCAAGATGATGCTATTCTACAACGATGGGCCATCCAGAGTCTGGAGAAAGCCACTAACAGCGTTGGAAAACCGCAATATTATTCCAACCGTTAAATTCGGAAAACTATCAGTGATGGTGTGGGGGTGTATTTCGAGCAAGGGTGTAGGAGATTTGACCTTCATTGAGAATACCATGGATGCTAGACAATATCTGAGCATTTTACAGACACATCTCGTCAGTAGTGCACAGAAATTTGGATTCTATGAGGACAATAAGCCAATTTTTAAATTTTACCAGGACAATGACCCGAAGCATAAAGCTCATATGGTAAGAGTTTGGCTGTTGTACAACTGTGGAAAGGTGTTAGACACTCCACCACAAAGTCCAGATATGAATCCAATAGAAAATGTGTGGTCATATTTGAAAAAAAAAGTCGCAAAGCGGAGTCCAAAATCAAAAACTGATTTAAAAGCTGCTGTACTGGAAGAATGGCAGAAGATTCCAGAAACATACATACAAAACCTTATTGTTTCAATGAAACGGCGATTGCAGGCTGTATGTGACGCTAATGGCAGCCACACAAAGTATTAAAAAAAAATATTCCTGTTTTTTTAACATTGTTATTTAGTAATAAAGTTTCGTGTAAAAACACTTTATTGACAGCATAAAATTTGAATGTTTTTAGTTTTTTAATTTTATAAAATGTTTGGGTAATGTTATTTAACAATTCTTTTTGCCATTAAGTTCTAGGAAAAATATAGAATCGAAATAAATTAGAATTGAAAAAAAATTCTCACTTTTAGGTACATTTATTTTCAACTAAACCCAAAAAATTAGTTTTTTTTCGTTAGTCAAAACACTTTATTGACATACTGTATGTACATAAGTCCAATGATTAAAACTAACGCAATTGAGGGCCTCTGTGTGCGCTACTGCGCTGCGGGCCGGCAGCATGTGTGCGCTGTAAAAAGCCGCGTGCTTCCTGCGTGCGTTGAATTTTCATCCACGTGCGTTTTTGGCGCTGGCCTGCGGCGCTTGGCGCGCGTGCTCTGGGGCCCAAAGATTCACAGATTATGAGATCTGAGGACACTTTGGCATCCAGCCAACTGACATTGTTTCTATGATAAATCGATTAACACACTGCGTTCATGTACCCTATCCTAGGTATACAAAAAGGAAAAGGAACTGAAGAAAGGTATCGCATTTCCGACATGTTTGTCGGTCAACAATTGTGTCTGTCACTTTTCGCCAGCTAAGAACGATGCCGACTACACGCTAAAGGCTGGTGATGTGGTTAAAATGTAAGTATTATTCACTCACCTGCCATATTCCTCATATATTTATTTACCTTGTTTCCTAATTGCCACACATAGCGATCTGGGTGGCCACATTGATGGCTTCATTGCTGTGGCTGCGCACACAATTGTCGTGGGCGCCGGCGCGGATCAGAAAATAAGCGGCCGCCAGGCTGACGTTATACTGGCCGCGTACTGGTCCGTTCAGGCTGCACTGCGTCTGCTCAAGTCCGGATCCAGCGTAAGTGTTACCGCCTATTTATAAGACTAGGTGGGGGATGCAGGCAACGGATTGTCTAGCGTTTAATGTACAGCGCCAGCACATCTCAACACCTGCGCAAAGCACAGGCGACAATAGGCGAAAGCGCAGTCATGAAATTCACGGCTGGGCCTCTGTTGATTGCTCACATATGCATGCATACATATTTATAGATATATATAGTTATAGTTATCCTTTTGCTGCAGGCAACGGAATGGCTGTTGACCCTAAATTATAACTGGCACAGCACAGCTCAACGTCTGCATAGATCAATCGCGGCAATTTCGTGAACTGAACGAGTTTATACATAGAAATGTTTGGTCTTTACAATTGCACACAATTATAGAAAATCATACATATTCTAGAGGGCTTATTTACAAATGTAAAATTAATGCCTTTATTGTTTGTCTTTCTTTCAGAATTACTCAATCACCGATGCCGTGCAACAAATCAGCGAATCGTACAAGTGTAAGCCCATTGAGGGCATGCTTAGTCACGAGCTGAAGCAGTTCAAAATCGATGGCGAAAAGACGATCATACAGAATCCGAGTGAGGCACAGCGTAAGGAGCACGAGAAGTGCTCCTTCGAGACGCACGAGGTTTATGCCATTGATGTTATTGTCAGCAGCGGAGAAGGCGTGGTAAGCAGTAGGTCTCTACGGGACTCTAACTTTATCACCAAACATTTGTTCGATGATTAAAAACACGCGCTTGAGGATTGGCATGGCAAGGTGATAGAGTTAATCATGTAAGCGCCTTGTGTGCTTGGCGAGTTTCCATTTCAACGGCTCGGCACGTGTTAGCTTCAGATCTACGCCGTAGCTGGCCCGAAGATTGCAAGATTATGAGATCTGAGAACGCATAAAAAACCATCGAAACATGTTGATTCGCTGACTTCGTAGCATTGTTAACATTTGTGTCTGTTGCAGGGTCGCGAGAAGGACACAAAGGTCTCCATTTACAAGAAGTCCGACGAGAACTACATGCTTAAGCTTAAGGCATCGCGTGCGCTGCTCGCTGAGGTGAAAACCAAGTACGGCAACATGCCCTTCAACATCCGCAGCTTCGAGGAGGAGACCAAGGCGCGCATGGGCGTCGTTGAATGCGTTTCACACAAGATGATTGAGCCCTTCCAAGTACTGTACGAGAAGCCTTGTAAGTCACCACTTATTGATATGATACTAGTTTTGCAAAACTTAATTCCGGATTTGGTATAACTCTTGAGCTGCCAACTACGGCCAGACATTTTGCTAGAACAAAGCTCCAAAGGCTTTGGCGTCTTCAGCAGTTGCCTCATTATACATGGGCCTCAGTCTGAACATGCCATTGCTACAAAAGCATCTGAACTAATTCGTCCAAATGGGAGCCTATAATTTGTATAATTGTTTACTTGCAGCTGAGATTGTGGCACAGTTCAAACACACGGTATTGCTCATGCCCAACGGCGTCAATTTAGTAACCGGTATACCCTTCAATGTGGACAACTATGTGAGCGAATACAGCATTGCGCAACCCGAACTTAAGGTAAATCGTAATTTCTGGTGATCTAACCTGACCGCAATCTTATCTGTGGATTTTATTTTTTTTTATTCAGGAACTGGTCGCACAGCCACTGGGACCTGTTAAGGGTAAGGGCAAAGGCAAGAAGGCGGCTGCCGGCAATTCTGCTGCGGCGACAAAAGTGGAATCGGCGCCGGCCGTTGAGACCAAGGCATAGGCCTCCCGGATACCATACAAACAACGCCCCCTTAAAGCAACAAGAATGTGAACAATTGCGCTGCCTACTGCTGCCGCTCTATAAATTTTTACTATAGAATTCGTTGATTAGTAAACCAGAAAATCCATTTGACAACACAATTCGTTTTCGTTCCAAGAACTTTAAATTTCCCATTCTAAGATTAAACAAAAACAAAAAAAAAAAAACACTTGAAAGCTTTTCGAGTTTTTCCAACAGTTAAACCCGTAAAATTCTATGTGCAGTCAACTCTACATATTTCTTCCCTCCTTATAAAAACGTACTGATCTTTCGTTTTAAATTTCAAAATCGATTTGTTCTAAATCGCAACGAAACGAAAAGTTTTAAGAATTAAAACATTTTTAAAGTAAACATGATCTTTAAAATACTTATAATTCAAAAAACAAAAACGTTACAAATCCACGCGTAGTAGGAATTAAATAAAATTAACATTTTTTAAAAAAAAAGGATAAGTAAAACTGAGTTTTCTTGGACTGTGGTTGGACATGTCATCAAATTGTTTCATATAACACTTATGTATAAGAGAAGAAAAGTTAATTAAAAAGTGAACTATGATTACTTCCAATACAAATAATTTTTCTTTTATTTTTACGTTTTATGTAATTAAGTTATGTTCACAATCTTTTTGCATTTTTTTTTTTAAATTTCTTGCATGTTATTAAAATTGTACACAGTCTCATGTCTGAACTCTTGTATTACAAAAGCAGCAAGAATAATTTTTGTTATCGTTACTGGTTACTAGGACACCCATCCCCACACTTTTCCCCAAATAGCCCCATCTGTCTACGTCCCATTTCGACACGCCAAACGAATTGCGGCAACAAAATTAAACAACAAAACAAATTACATATCAAATTGTGAATTATGAGAGCGAGCAGCGTGCAGCACACGGGATATGAGAATAAAATGTGCAAACAAAACGGACAGAGGCGCAGTCGACAGAATCGTAGATTTGAATCGATTGCGTTTGGTTAGTTGAAATACATGTGGTATGTATTTGCGGGTCCGATTATGCAACAAGCGAGTCTACAGCCAGCAAGGGAACGGGGGAAGGGTACAACGACAACGTTTTTGCTGGTGCCGTTTGGGCCATTAGTTCTCGGCATGTGCGTCTATGGGCGCCGAGGCAGTTACATTGCTTGGTTTCTCTGGCGAGTCCAAGTAGATCTTTAGGGCTCGTTCGCGCCGCTGCGAGTAACGTGTCGTTGAAATGCAGCCCAATCGATCCAGGCGCGCCTTCTCCTTATTGGTTAACGAGCGGCGCTCATCTGACGAGAGCTCTCGCACCGGCACGCTTTTATCTCTGCAATAAACCATAAGCTTAGTGCCATACACAAAAGAGCATAATTCCATGCATCCAACTCACTTATACAAATACATGTTGCCACTGTTAGTTGTGTTCAATGGATACACGTCCAGCGCCGCGGGCACAGAGAGCCAGTTGACGGCCTCGTTAACGCTAACTGCCGATATGCTTGTGCAGGGAAAGTAGCTGTTTAGCTGTGAGCAAAGTAACAGAGTGTTAAAAGATCTTATATAAGCCTATATATACGTGCGGCATTTCCTACCTTCATATAACTCAAGCGATCAATAGGTATGTTGCATATTTGTGATAAACATCTTTTGATTTCGCCATCCTCTGCAAGAAGTGAGATTAAAAACCAATTTTAAACAATTTACCAATTTCAATCAGCTTACTGTCCAATGTGATTTCCTGGAATTTGCCAAACTCCCATTTATCCGGATACCAGCGACGCACGAATATGGTTAACGAATCTTCCTTTGGCTGCGCCACCACGCCCTCCTCACACTCTTGCACAATGAACTGCGGCCAAAACATGAATTAGATTTATGTATATCGACACATGTAAATAGTTTCGTGCTCACCTCGGCAGCCGTGGAGCGAATGTCGCAGTACAGTGTATCCTCGTTAGCGAGTATTTTAGTGGGACACCGACCGCCCTTTAGCCAGATGCGACAATTGTCCACGGTAAGGGAGCTGTATTTGGCATCGATGCGATGCAGCTTGGCGACCAGATCCTGTTTGGCCTGCTCCACTGTAGTGGTGGCATTATACACCCACTCACAGACGCAGGGCAGCTTGGCGGTCTCATTGTTTAAATCCGCCAGCCGCAAAAAGTATATCTTAGACTTGAACTCGTACGGTTGCAGTGTTTTACCGATCTCTACGGTCAGAGTTTCGCCTTCATTTAGAAAGACCAGCGTATTGGTCTGGTTATTGGATATGGTGCTCTCATGCTTTCGCTGTAGCTTAAAATAGGCGCTGGGGACGCGTATCAACTGCTCGATGTGCCGCTTAAAGGTGCCCATACGCATATGCTTGCCTACAAGAAGCTTATAAGCGTGTGTGGGCTTACGCAGTTGCGCCTCGTCATCGGATTGGTGGCCACTGGTGGTGCTGCTACTGGTGGCCAGATCCACGCAATCAATTTTGATGGCATGGAAAAATTGTGTTGTTGTGCTAGGTGGCAGGGAGCTGGTGTCGCCCGCCTCGCTGCCATAGCTGCCGTTGCCATTGCAATAGGCGTGAACACGCATCATGGCGTCATGTGAGGCGGCCTCATCCTCAGGACTGGACAGCTGTGGTGAGTGGCTGGTGGAGCTCACCTGACTATCGCCGCCGCCACGATGCTGCATACTGTTCTCAACCAGTGTACGATCACCATCACTCAGGCTACTATCCTCTGAGTTGGATTCATGGCCGGGTGTCGTAAGCGAATCAGCCTGATCGCGCTTATAGCGACGCCAATCACAGTCGTTATTGCCGGCGCTGACACCCTCGGGCGTAGCCGTGCCGTTTGTGCCGTTAATACCATTCATCATGGCAGCATCCACTACATCACCACCGGCGCAGCCATTGGCGGGCTGCAAAGGGGAGAAGAGTTACTTGAACTTTGACAAATTGCTATAATACTTGCATTTGTAAATAAAACAATTAACTATTGGGCTCAATTTGATGGAAACTAGACGTTAAAGGATTAAGGTACCTACCTCGATGGGAGCTGCAATGGGCTCGCTGCTGGGCACGCCCAACATCTCGAGACTGGTGGCATCGGTGTTAGGCACGTTTAAGTAAAAGTATGTGATGTATTTGAATTGTGAGTTAGCCAGTTGCTGAAGATGTTGCTGTGCCTCCGATGTCGGTTGGGGATCGTACGCTACAAAGGCCATGCGGTAAGTGCCACGCACGGCGGCCAGCAAAAACTGCTGCTCGTTAATGTGCAAACGTACTGCAATTGAATGGCGCAGAACGTCGCTAGACTCCCGCGCTGCTGAATAAACCAGGAAGGGACCGTCCATCGCCATGGTCGAGAGATCTACCTTAAACACATACCACGTAGTGCCATCGCTGGCATAGTTTTCAAACTGCTGATCCTCAGCCCGGTACTCCAGCAAAAAGTCCAGATTGTAGTTATGTGAGGAACGCAGCTCGGTTAGTGCCGGGTCAGTGCAATTCTCCAGCGACTGTATGATGGTGTCCATGGATGAATTGTAGGCAACCAGACGGCAGCGTGACAGCGGCGCAAACTGCTCCACATTGAGCATATCATAGGCAGACATCAGCACTTTATTCACATCGAAACTCTGCGACAGATACACGCGGGTCATCTTTAGTTTCTTGAGCAACGGATTATAAAAGTAGACGCGCGGTTTGTATAGATGCGGCAGTGCCAGATCTGTTACTGTGATGTGTCTACCCAGGCGCGAAACGCGCGTATCTTCCTCCGCATGCAGCTTGAGAAGCAGCGACTTGATGTGTTCCGGAAAGTCGTTACACTTGACCACAAGCTCGTTACGCTTGGCGTCCACCTGGCGATACATGAGCATATACGCATTCGTGCTGGACGTATAAGCACTTGAATAGTAGCTGCCATTGGGCCCGCCAAATGAACGCTGGATGTCCTCTTGTGTGATCTAAAAAGTGTGAGGCGAAGGTGCACCTATAATATATGTTGACACCTGCCAATCTTTGGCTACCTACCGTGGACACATTTTGATCATTGAAACAGAACCATTCATCATTATCAAAATCCTTGATATAAGCATAGTAATGACCGCCTGATGCGCTGCCCGAGTGTATCATGATAGCAAAGAGGTCATAGATATATGGACCTGATAGCAACTCCTGTTTGAGTCGTGCCTCCATGTTTGCGCTCTTGCCTGTGCTGCTGCTCATGTCGATGCCTTCGTCCTCGTCGTTCATATCGTTCTCATGCTGACTGGAACTGGCCGTTGTTCCCACACCGCTGCTCAAGTTATCCTCCTCCATGGCTGAGCCACTGTCCGCGGTGCTGCAATCGTCTGCATTGCTGCTGCCATTCATCTGATACTGCTCGCCCTGGCCGCTGCGATTCACAAAGCTGTTCAGATTCAGCTTTTGCGGGAAGGTCACCCTTTAAAATGCAGAACAAATATTAGTAGAAGACTAAGAGTTAAGGATTTAACGCTTGCCTGTCATTCAGCTTGATGCGATGCATGGTCTGATAGTCAAAGTCGAAGCGCTTAAGATGCAGCGTCAGTATATAGGGGAAGGACTTAAAGTGCAGTCCCTTGTGGGCGTCGCATTTCTTTTTGCATTTCTCGCACAGATACTGATTGTTGCCATCGAGAGTTTCGGGCTGAACAAAGGCGCGCAGTGCCTCCTCGATGCTACCGTAGGCGGAACTACTACCAAATGGACGCACCGGTAGCGGTATGTCAAGAAAGGTATCCTCGCGCGTCTTTTCGGTATTGCACTCCAAACACTTGACATAATCATTCATTTTGCCCTCGTACAGCGTCGAGATGAGATTGGCCTGTTTTGTGTTCTTGAACTTGTGCTCCAGTGCATCGAACATGACGCGGCACAGCTCTTGGATGTCATGCTGTTGCCAGGCCTCCGTTGAGTCCCAGCCAAAGCTGCGCGTCAAGTCAGTTGTCTCCACCGATGATTTCGGCGATGTCTGCAAATTGAGAAACAGCTTCTGCAACTGGTAGGGTATGTTCTTGGCCTCGTTGTCGTTGTCAAACTCCCAGCGGTACAAGGCATTACGAAACTCGGGCGTCATATAAAGCGCTTGCAGCAGACTGTTTAGATAGCAGGTCATAGCCTGATTGACAAGTCCCACATATGCACGTGGCCCAACACCATTTCGGTGCGTCTCTGTTTCTGTATTGGCCGAGGCCACAAATTCTGAGGCGCTGGTATTGATGCGCTGCCAGGCGGGCACCTCATCGCCGCCGTACTTGCGCCCAAAGAAATTTGAATATTCCATCTCCTGTCTATCATCCTCTTCGACTTTATCATTGCCAGCGATGGCCGCTAGTGCATCGGTGCCAGCTTCAGTTCCAGCCAACAGATCGCTTTCTGTGGGTCCGGCGTTGCCAAATTCGTAGGCTGGACCCATCAAAGTGGGACTGGCCGAGGCGCCCAATGCCAAATCATCGTCAGACAGTTGTTCAGCTTCCGAGACGGGACTTATATTAAATAACTCAGGAGCTACATCATCGACGGGCGAAATGAGGATCCTGTTTTGTGGCAACTGCTGCTTCAGCTGCTCGGTTATTTCAACTTTGGTTAGTTCGTCAATAGCTATGTCTGTGGCGCAGGTACTTGGCGCTTTTGGCAGCTGCACGCTTTCATCCACTTGGTCCTTGCTCTTCACAATATTGTTCTTGTTATCGCTGGCTTTGGTTTTCACTTTTATGCTGACCTTGCTGGGCGTGGTGGGCGTCGCTGTGGCTGATGCTGCTGCTGCTGTTGCCGCTGACTCAGCTGTCAATTCAGTGGGACTAACGCTAGTCTTGGTTTTGCTTGGCGATTTTTTCTTTTTCTCGCCTGTTGTTACCCGCTTCTTTTTCTCACCGGTTTTTGTTGCTGTTGTCGTTGCGGTTGTCGTTGCCATGTTGTCCGCGGTAGTTGCCTGTTTGCTGAGAGTCGAAGCGGATTTTTTTATGGTCAACTCATAGCGTTTGGTCACATTGCCGTCCCAGGTGCCCTCTGGCAGCAGCACCAGGTTATTCTTCAGCTGAGGCTCAAAGCCAGGCACGTCGTAAAGCAGCTCCTTGTCTAGCGCATTCAAATTAACCTAAATCATGTAAAATGCATTAGTAAGAGCTAGCGGCCGCATGACTTGGCATCAAATACTTACCAGATCCTTCTCGCCATGCGGCTGTAGCAGCAGCTCGAATTTGCCATAGGCAAACTGTGTGCCAATCAGCGCAATGACGTGCTTTACCGTAAAATGGGAGCGCACAACGATGTTGATTTTCTTTTGTTGTGAGCCAGGCGTTTGGTCAAAGACGGCGCACTGTGTACTATTCTTGCTGTCCTGCTCAGCCATGTCCTAGTCCTGGGGGCACGTTGCAAACCAAATGGGTTAAGGCCTGTAATAAATGAAAATTTTAAAAAATTGCGATATAAATACAAATTTTGAAAGATTGCAAATAAAAAATGCCCGAAAAATAATATATATTTATTATATATATACAAATAAAAAATAAAAACGAGAAAAATAATGAAAAAAAAGAACTACTGACATTTCGTTTTTAGAAGCTGCTTGACAACGGCCACAGAGAAACAAGGAAGCCAGCCCACATGAACTGTTCATTGCTCCCACCCGTTGCCCCATCCCCTTCCAATGCCCCAGCACCCACCGTAGACCTCAATTCGAAAATAAACCAAAATCCCATTGCCTGCTGCTGTTTGCTTTTTTCGCGCCTTATTTGTACGCGGGCACACACACAAAAAAAAAAAAAAAAAGCAAAAATCATGACTAAGATTGTACGGAATTTTATAAACAAATTGCGGCCGGAGGAGGCAGCTTCTAGAAGTGCCGATATTCCATATTTCAGCTGCTTCTGAATTTTCAGCAACAGCGTCATAATTGCCGCATAAATTGCTCCAACAAATGTCATTCCAAGGCGATTGCTGTTGCTTTCTTTGTTGGGCAACGACGGGCGACTCGATAGCCGACATTGTAACGGAAATGCTACAGTATATATATTGCCATAATTATGTATAAACAGATATATTCAATATATATATATGACATTTGGCCGCAATGCGCAAAATGTACAAATGGGACGTCAGTTTTTGGGGGCGCGCGCAGCAGTAAGTAAATAAATTTATAAGAAAAATTAGAAAATATATTTTGGAAAAGCTCTAATGCGTTTTGCCTTTAAGTTTTGAACATGCACAGCACATAATAGAAGCTGACAGTTGGCAAAAAGAAAAATTTTACTTATTTTTCCGTCATATATATAAAAATTGAACGAACATAAGCCTGTTAGCCATGATCTATTTGCATGCATCTATTTCTGATAACGTTTTTTAAACAAAACAAACTCTCAAGTTTTTAAGAAGTTTCACATAAGCCCCGCGCTAAATTGGTAAAAATCTATGTTTACCGGAAAACTTGCGCAAATGCGTTCACAGTCGAATTAAATGTCCAAAGCAATTAGTATATACGAAATGCGCAATGTTTTTCCAACTTGAATTTATAAAAATAGGCACAAACATTGCAATCGACACGAGACGAGGCGAGGCGGGGTCAGGAGAGGCGCGTTGTGCCAAGTGCTCTGGCCAAAAGATAAACCCAAACGAGCTGCAATTTCAAACACATGTTGGATGAACGCAAGCATTTATATGATATATTAATGTATAAATAAAAAAATATATATATGCAAGTGCTGGTACGCAAGAGTGGAATCCAAAAATGCTAAAACGCAAACAGAACAAAAAAAAAAAAAACAGAAAAAAATTGTGCGTCTAAAAATAAAAAGTGGCGGCGACGGCGACAAGAGCAAAGAAATTGACGGAACAAAATAAAAAAAAAATAACGTCAAAGAAAAAACAAATATTTAAAGCAGGGAGCACAAGTATCCGTCAGATACAATCTGGCTATTTGTAAATGCGAAGGTTCTCGTTACCGAAACGTAACGAAGGCGCAGTCAAAAAAAAAAAACACTGCACAGCCAACATGAACCTACATATACATATATAAGTATCTATGCCTATGTCTGTTTATCCAATATCTGAGACGCACAGAATTCTCATCAATATTTACATTGACGCTAATCCCCATCCCCACACAACCCACACATTCGGGCTTGGGCGTGACGTGAACGAGATTTTTACAGAAATTAGCCCAACGTCTGGCGCACACGAAGATTTTTATGTTTTTCGCCAGACCTGAATAATGTGATAAGTGTGTGTATTTTTCTTTATTTTTTATTTTTGCATATAGTTTTGCTATTTTTAAAACTATTTCGCTACATTTTAAGTTTTTGAGGTCTGCCACACAAAGCGAGCCCCACATGCCAAAGAGGTAGAGTTCCGATTTCTCAGATATATAGTACACCCACACACATACACACACACACACATGCACACACACACACGCGCACACACATACACAGGCACATCGATCGAGTTCGAGTCATGTCGCAGCTTTCTATGTAGACTCAAATTATGCAGTTCTGTGTACTCCCTGTAGTTATTACGAAAGCAATCTATTTCAAATGGATTCTATATTTAGACTAATTGCAAGGGGATTCGCACGTTATACGATAAACTCCATTTGAAGCGCACACACATATACTTATATGGGGAGGATTAAAAATATATGTGTATATATGTACTTGCATATATATAATTTATCTTTTTTATGCACACACACAAACACACACCGTCTGATTGCTCCCGAGTTCTTCTGTGCGCTGTGGAACCGCCGTCAACGCAACGACATCGTTTCACGCGTGCTCGAGTACTGACCACTGCTGCGGCACGAACTGGTGCTGGCGCCACAGAGTGCACGAGTGGGTCTCGATCGCTGCCGAATAGCCAGCCGGGCAGTTGGGTGCGCTACGAATCGCACACTGGATGCAGTTGTTGGCCGCGGGCGCAGCACTGATAACAATAACAAATGCACCCAGCTGGCATTAGCAGCAACTGTTGATAACAATATCACAAAAACAAAAATATGCGAATAAGCGAGCGCGTGAGTAAGTTGTTTATTAGGGCTCAGGGCTCTGACCGGTGACGCAGTGACGGGTAGCCCACCCGGCAGGTCTATAGTCCCCAACCTAGACAAATTGTTCAATGAATTAGTCGACTATATTGTATGGATATTCTGAGAGAGATGGACCGACAGAGAGCGTGCTGTGTCGAAATTCACAGCGAAAGTGCTATTAATGTTTATTCAAGATGCTCTCGCCAATTGGCCGATGAATGACTATTTTTATGCGCTGCTTGGCTGTGCCTCGCCAGCGTCTCATGTGTGACTAAGAAGCGCTGACCGTGTGTGCCGGCATCTACGTTGCTCTTGGGGTCGCGACGGGGGTTGCGGTCGAACTTTGCATGTTGGCGAATTTTCATTTGCGCAACACACATCGTAGAGGTTGGGAGGGGGGGGGGGGGGTTGGTACATACGGTGGACGGGAGATCGGTCAAGGTTTCGCTTTGGAACGTGACACATGTGATTGCTTAAGTGCGAAAAACTAGTTCAAGCTTTGCGTCCTTCAACGTCTTGGCCAAATGTCGGAAAACTTGCGGCTCCAAAATATGCTCGTTCACACATACACACATTTATATGTAGGCATACAGATACACATACATATGTATGATTTCACTCACCTGAACTGTGAAAATGTTGCAATATTGTGTTAGGGTTAAATGCACAATCCGGCCCAAGGGCTGGGACTACACAGGCCAATTGATTTGTTGCTATCTAAACTGTTTAAACGGAGGATGCTTGACGTTGATACCGAGCAGCAACCATTTTTATAAATGAAACAAATGTTTTTTGTTGTTCTGCTGCGGTTTGGCTGCAGTTCTATCGATGGCAATACCGATAAGCCTGCCTGCTATCGATGGTTATCCGATAGTTCCATCAGTCACCCTACACAAAGTATCGATGCTACGGCTGCAATTCGATTCAAATCAAATCGATTATTGATTTGTAACAAACGCAGTTAATTGACACACTATAATCCACAAATCAATAACCCATGCTTATTTAAATTCAATTTATCAACTAACATGCAATTTTTATGTTCTTAGCAAAATGATTTAAATATTTGAATTTTGGCGCTATATGTTATCGAACCGTTGTGTTCCGGATGCAACCCTATTATGCTAGAAGCATCGAGAATTTTCGACGAGCAGACTGCTCCGAGTCTATATAAAGGCAACATCCGTTGCCAGTTCGACTCATTTAGCAAAAATCAAGAGAAACGAGTAGTGGGTGTGTTTTCACACTAGATAAAAAAAACCAGAACTATTGATTAAAACCAATATAATTTCAAGAATATAGTGCATTTTTCAACTGCAATTCATAGAAATTCAAGTAATAATCAAATCGGAAAGTTAATTTACAAGAAAAAAGTAAAATAAAAAAAAAAAAAATAGCACGCAGCTGCAAAACAAAAAAGGTATGTAGGGCCTAACACATTAATTGTTGCTTAAATTAGCTTGTTTTCACTTGAAAACAAACTGCATTTAATGAACTTTAAAGCAAGAGATAAAATGAAAAGCCAAACAAGCAATACAATACAGTGAAATGTGAAATTTAAATCCCAAAACACAGCGGCGTCGACGTCACGCCCAGATTGACAACACATCAGCTTTTCGCTGGCGTTGTCTTTGTCGTTGCACAACTCAAAGTTTCTAGCAATTTCCATTGGGCGACGCGTTGAAAAAACAATCGACATATTTGTCTCTGCTGTTTTAGCTTTGCGTTTATAAATAAGTACATATATCAGTAGAATAATTGTGTGCTTTCTATTCTTTTTTCGCAGTTTGTAAGTGCGCGGCGTCAAATTAAAGCATAATGGGAAAAGACTTCTACAAGATATTGGGCATTGACAAGAAGGCCACAGACGATGATATTAAGAAGGCGTACCGAAAATTGGCACTCAAATACCATCCGGACAAGAACAAGAGCCCGCAAGCGGAGGAGCGATTCAAGGAGATCGCAGAGGCGTACGAGGTGCTGTCCGACAAGAAGAAACGCGACATTTACGATCAGCACGGTGAGGAGGGACTGAAGGGTGGACCACCCGGACCAGATGGCAGCGGCCAGCCAGGCGCCTACACTTACCAGTTCCATGGTGATCCACGCGCCACATTTGCACAGTTCTTTGGCTCGCAGAATATCTTCGGCACAGCGGATCCGTTTGGCGCCTTCTTTAGTGGCGGCGGCGGCGGTGACGGAACTGAGCAAGTCTTCATGAACATTGGCGGTGATGAAATGTTCAACGCTGGCGGTTTTGACGGCAATCCTATGGGCGCCTTCCGTTCACAATCGTTCAATGCACAAGCGCCCAGCCGGAAGCGCCAGCAACAGGACCCACCAATCGAGCATGATTTGTATGTGACGTTAGAAGAAGTCAACAGAGGCTGCACAAAGAAAATGAAGATCTCGCGCATGTCCATGTCAACGGGCACGGCGCGTAAAGAGGAAAAGGTGCTGAGCATTACTGTAAAGCCGGGCTGGAAGGCAGGCACAAAGATCACATTCCCCAAAGAAGGCGATCAGGCACCACAAAAAGTGCCTGCGGACATCATCTTCATCATACGCGACAAGCCGCATCCGCAATTCAAGCGTGAGGGCAGCGATTTGCGCTACAATGCCCAGGTCAGTCTCAAGCAGGCCCTGTGCGGCGCCTCAATATCAGTGCCAACGCTGCAGGGCGATCGCATAGCAGTCAACACACAGGGCGAAGTCATTAAACCCACCACAACAAAGCGTATTAGTGGGCGCGGCTTGCCTTTCCCCAAGGAGCCGTCACGGCGCGGCGACCTGATCGTTGCATTCGACATCAAATTTCCGGACTCGCTGCCTCCCAGTCTAAGGAACCAACTAGCGGAGCTGCTGCCAAACTAAATGTGATTGGCAAAGCCAAGTTGTTTCGTACTACGTTGAGCTCTATCCTCCTACAACAAATTTGTATAGTATGTTTTAAATTAAGTTCTAATTTTAGTTTTAATCCTTATACTGGGACACAAAATTAATTTGTCGGTTTAGGCTTGAAATGTTTTATGTAAAAACATAATATGCCAAACGAGTGTTTAATAATTGGCATGTTCATATGATATATCTCGCCAATTTGGAATCGATGTAGATATAAATGCAAATGCTAACCATAGAGTTGTTCTCGCGATAAGATAAGTAATGAAAATACAAAACACTGACACACACACATATGTATAAGATAGCTGAAAGTGTTTTGAGCTGGAGACTGATCGGTTACTTAATTATGTATATTTTCCCTATTCTAAACGTTAACCAAGTAAATAAATTGCAAAGAAAATTGTTAAAAGTTTCCATGTTACCTGTAATTGCTGTAAAGAATATCTGGATCGATTCAACTACATAAATCCAGCTCCCACAAAGCACTGCTCTTATGCACATTGGCTATTATGTTGTAAGACATTACACGTACACTAAACCATTCAATAGAACTAGTACGTTTTAGTACCATAATTATATGTACATGAAAGAGAAAAGTATTTAATAAACTAATTTCAATGATATTTTAATTATACATTTATATATATAAAAAAGAACATAAACTCGCAAAGAATTGTATTGTACAGGACATTGAGATCGTCCTTGTAGTTTCTAAGATATTCAGTATTTTGTGATTTTAGACCATTTTACGTGTAATTCGCACAACAGAAATTTTACAAGTCCTGGATTCTTAGATGACCCCATAATATTTTGATGCAGATTGATGGAGTTGGTCCTTGCGATCCTAACGCACAGTGTCCTTTGAAAATCTGCAAGGATATGGCCGAGTTATAGCTATTTTTCTAAAAAGGACATTTGTTTTTTGGCCATTTCTTGGCAAAATCCTTAAGGATCTGGCAAGGACACACCTTATTGAATTCGCAGGACTCAGGACCATCGATTGGCATTCAAAGATTTCCAGGATTCGACCAAAATTTTCACCTAAAAGTTTTTCAAGGGGTATAGTCGCAAAAGTGGCAAAAATCGAAAAAATCCAGGCTAACTTGGCCATTTGAAGGACTATCGGGATGTCCTTTGGCCAGCAAGTAATCCTCATACTCCCAATTATGAATATACATTAGTAAGGACGAAAGTCCTTCAAACAACGAAGTTTTAAGGACGATTTTGTCAACGGAAAATAGGTCATAACTCGGCCGTATCCTTGCCTATCCTGACAAGTCCTATGTCAAATAAATTGTATTGACCAGGGCTACCAACTGGCCAAAGGGCATCGAGATCGTCCTTGTAGTTTCTAAGATATGAAGGATTTTGTGATTTCAGCCCATTTTACGTGCAATCCGCACAGCTGAAATTTTACAAGTCCTGGATTCTTAGATGACCCCATAATATTTTGATGCAGATTGATGGAGTTGGTCCTTGTGATCCTAACGCACAGTGTCCTTTGAAAATCTGCAAGGATATGGCCGAGTTATAGCTATTTTTCTAAAAAGGACATTTATTTTTTGGCCATATCTTGGCCAAATCCTTAAGGATCTGGCAAGGACACACCTTATTGGACTCGCAGGACTCAGGACCATCGATTGGCATTCAAAGATTTCCAGGATTCGACCAAAATTTTCACCTAAAACTTTTTCAAGGGGTATAGTCGCAAAAGTGGCAAAAATCGAAAAAATCCAGGCTAACTTGGCCATTTGAAGGACTATCGGGATGTCCTTTGGCCAGCAAGTAATCCTCATACTCCCAATTATGAATATACATTAATAAGGACGAAAGTCCTTCAAACAACGAAGTTTTAAGGACGATTTTGTCAACGGAAAATAGGTCATAACTCGGCCGTATCCTTGCCTATCCTGACAAGTCCTATGTCAAATAAATTGTATTGACCAGGGCTACCAACTGGCCAAAGGGCATCGAGATCGTCCTTGTAGTTTCTAAGATATGAAGGATTTTGTGATTTCAGCCCATTTTACGTGCAATCCGCACAGCTGAAATTTTACAAGTCCTGGATTCTTAGATGACCCCATAATATTTTGATGCAGATTGATGGAGTTGGTCCTTGCGATCCTAACGCACAGTGTCCTTTGAAAATCTGCAAGGATATGGCCGAGTTATAGCTATTTTTCTAAAAAGGACATTTGTTTTTTGGCCATTTCTTGGCCAAATCCTTAAGGATCTGGCAAGGACACACCTTATTGAATTCGCAGGACTCAGGACCATCGATTGGCATTCAAAGATTTCCAGGATTCGACCAAAATTTTCACCTAAAAGTTTTTCAAGGGGTATAGTCGCAAAAGTGGCAAAAATCGAAAAAATCCAGGCTAACTTGGCCATTTGAAGGACTATCGGGATGTCCTTTGGCCAGCAAGTAATCCTCATACTCCCAATTATGAATATACATTAGTAAGGACGAAAGTCCTTCAAACAACGAAGTTTTAAGGACGATTTTGTCAACGGAAAATAGGTCATAACTCGGCCGTATCCTTGCCTATCCTGACAAGTCCTATGTCAAATAAATTGTATTGACCAGGGCTACCAACTGGCCAAAGGGCATCGAGATCGTCCTTGTAGTTTCTAAGATATGAAGGATTTTGTGATTTCAGCCCATTTTACGTGCAATCCGCACAGCTGAAATTTTACAAGTCCTGGATTCTTAGATGACCCCATAATATTTTGATGCAGATTGATGGAGTTGGTCCTTGCGATCCTAACGCACAGTGTCCTTTGAAAATCTGCAAGGATATGGCCGAGTTATAGCTATTTTTCTAAAAAGGACATTTATTTTTTGGCCATATCTTGGCCAAATCCTTAAGGATCTGGCAAGGACACACCTTATTGGACTCGCAGGACTCAGGACCATCGATTGGCATTCAAA